CAGCTTGGAGAGTTTCATGGTGAGGTTCGTAAGCTAATTACTACGACTTCTTTTGCAAAAGTGCCCATTAAGCCTGCTAATGGCGAAGGTCTTCTATAAAGCAAAGAGGAAGTACTCGAACGTTGGGCGGAACACTTCAGCATTCTGCTGAATGTGGACCGGGCTGCAGACCTGGAACACATTCGTTCGATACCTCAACTCCCAATTTGCACTGAGCTGGATGAGTCACTATCATGTGAGGAGATTGCTCTCGCCATCAATCAACAGAAAAATAAGCGTGCGGTGGGCATCGACTTTATACCAGGAGAACTGCTTAAATACGGTGGTAATGAATTGCAACTGGCTATTTGGGAACACTTTGATCATATGTGGAAAGAAGAACAAGTCCCACCTACTTTTAAATTATCACGCATAAGGGCCCTATATAAGAACAAAGGTGACCGATCCGATTGCAATTCAAACCGCGGAATTTCACTTCTATCAGTCCCCGGAAAAGTTTTTGCCCGTGTACTACTTAACCGCCTCATGAAACTTTCAGAACAACTTTTACCCGAGACCCAGTTTGGCTTCCGACCTGAACGAGGAACGTGTGAGGCCATCTTCTCTGTACGTCAACTGCAGGAGAAAAGCAGAGAGCAAGTAGGTCATTTATATCTCTGCTTCGTTGACCTTGAGAAGGCCTTTGACAGTGTGCCTCGAGAAGCCCTCTGGATAGTACTTTCTAAGATCGGGTGTACAGAGAAGTTTGTAAGGCTTCTAAGACTCCTATACTATGACATGAAGTGCTGTGTCACTGTCAACGATGAACAGTCTGAGTTTTTCCCCGTCACCTGTGGGGTAAAACAGGGATGCGTCCTGGCACCCACACTGTTCGCGTTGTACTTTGCAGTTGTTATTCAAGAAGTCTTGCAATTAACCTCTGAAGGTGTCCGCATCCGTTTCCGTACGGACGGCGGTATATTTAATCTGGCAAGACTGAAGGCTCGCACCAAAGTTTCGCATACTATGATCACCGAAATAATGTACGCCGATGACCTATGCTTTGTTACAGAATCCCCAGACGGCCTGCAGCAGCTAATGTCCCATTTCAACGAGTCGTGCCGAAAATTCGGCTTAAAAATTAGCGTTAAAAAGACGGAAGTGATGTCCCTAGACATACAAGGTCACGAGGCATTGGCAATAAAACTCGGTAGGGACAAGCTGAATCAAGTCGACAAGTTCCGTTATCTGGGGAGCACAATATCTTCTAAATGTGATCTAGACGCCGAAATCAACAGCAGGATCGGCGCTGCTGCTGCATCGTTCGGCAAGTTGGATGCGAAGGTGTTCAGCTCCCATGACCTAAAGCTGGCGACTAAGATCTCCGTCTACATGGCTGTTGTGCTGCCAAATTTATTTTATTCTGCCGAAACGTGGACCGTGTACCGCCGTCACATCCACACGCTCGACCGATTTCACCTCAAATGCGTGCGTAAAATACTTAACATACGATGGTCTGATCGTGTACGGAACACCGAAGTGCTGCGAAGAGCCAATGTAGGTGGCATTGAGGCTTACCTTATGCGGCGTCAGCTTCGGTGGTGCGGACACGTGTCGCGTATGGCGGAGCAAAGAGTTGCTAAGCGCATCTTTTACTCGGAATTGGAGGAAGGCAAGCGTAAGCATGGCGGTCAAATCCTCAGGTACAAAGATGTGCTTAAGCGGCACATGAAGAGGTGCAGCATCGACCCGCTGTTATGGGAGCAGCAGGCAGCCAGAAGGACTGAGTGGGGGGATCTAGTTAAAACGAGCGCCCAAAACTTTGAGGACAGGCGGCTCTGTGAGCTGGACGCCAAGCGAGATGAACTAAAGGCTCGACCACCAGCGGCCATTAGTTATAATTATGTGAACGGTGTGCTAACGGGCCCGCAGTGTGCGAGGATTTTTACGCAAAAAATTGGCTACATAAGCCACACGCGAGCACACCAAAGGCAAAATCGGAGTTGAATGCAGTCGCCGTGGCCGAAATCGGCCGGGAGCAATCAATCAATGACCATGTGAAAAAAATTCGCAATAGTGGTTTCAATTAACAAATTGTTTTTTACTTTTTCAAAATTATTAGCAAGTATATTTAAAAAAAAACGTACACGTTTACAACACTGGTTTTTTTATTGGTCAAAGTTAAGCGAAATCTTAAACAAGTTAACGAAAAACAAAACCGACCTCAAATATCTTACTCCGTATTCATTTTATAATTGATTTTTATAAGTTCCCCAAGTATATCTGGAACCCAAGATCCAATAACATTGAAATTAATATGGGATCACATGTAAAGCGCCAGACCTCAAATAAAAAAAAAAAAGAATCATCAAAATCGGTTCACTCAGTCGAAAGCTGAGGAAAAAAAAAACATAAAAAAAATACAGTCGTATTGAGAACGTCCTCCTTTTGAAGTGGATTAAAAATAACTCTAAATTGAAGAAATTTCATTTGGTATATCCATTATTTACTAATAATTACACGATCGATCCAGATTGTTACAAAACATGAAATTTTCATGAAGAAATCATTTAAAGAAATTAATTTTAATTTCAGGACAGGACACAGGACGCATTATTCCATAACGTTTTCTACTCTCAAACCAAGCAACGCTTGTAATAATTGATAACCGTACTTGAACATACTTTTCTTTTGTAAATAAATACATAGTATAAATATAAACACCCAAGCACTAGAAAAACACTATGTTCATAACACTATATTTTTCCAGCAGTTGGGATAGAACCCACACCCTCTGGTGCAAGAGGCAGGGTTAAGTTAACCCACTAGGCCAATTGGGTCGACGAGTGAAAATCTTTAGGCTACGTTCCTTAGCATCAGAAATCATTGCCAACGCTGTTTCGGACTTGAACTCGTCACGGTTCAATGATGTTTTAATAAGGATGACGCATGTCCGTACTGCGTGGCGTTTGAAAATTGTTCCGCTTTACATTATATGACATGTATAAGTGAAAGTGACAAAAGATGTAGAACGTATGATACGGAGAGAGAGACAGCAGTCTCGAATTACACCAACTGGCGTAATTTGAGTGCCTCAGTTTCGGTGCGCTACCGCTAGTGACATATCCACCTCGTCATCATCATCTACATGAGTTCAGCCTGTTTAAGTCCACTGCTGTTATGTTCATCAGTGGTCTTAAACAGGCTGAAGACTTAAGCAGGCCTTCCCCATAGACTGCCACGAAGTACGATCCTGTGCCACCTGCATCCATCGACTTCCCGCACACTTGCACAGGTCGTCACTCCATGTAGTGGGGGGTCGTCCCACACTGCGATGGCCAGTACGAGGCTGCCACTCGAGAATCTTTCTTCCCCAACGGTTATCGGTTCTACGAGCTATATGGCCGGCCCAACGCCACTTCAGCTTGCTAATCTTCTGAACTGTGTCGGTTACCTTGGTTCAACTGTGGATGTCTTCGTTACGAACTCTATCACGCAGAGAAATACCGAGAAATACCGAACTCTAAGAGAAATACCGAGCATAGCCCGCTCCATAGCTTACGGCCACGTCGTATTTGTATATAATATCATGACGACGTATTAAGGACGATGTGGCGCGATGCAGATAACGGTGTCTTTGACCGGGCCCCGTAATTCTCGTATGTTTGGATGACAACATTTACGTCAGCAACGGCCTCCGTCGACGAATGTGGAAGCGGAATAAGTGAACGTTTATTCTTAATCGCGCATTCTATCTAATACCAATATGTATTTCTAATGGTCACCTACGTCTCATAATACGCACTGCTTTTTTGCTACGTACGTCAGTACACGCCTTATATGTTAATTCCAGTATTTATCTTACACGTAGCAATCGTTTATTTCTTTTAATGACGCACTAAGAACTTTCTGAAGATTTCCAATGAGATGAACAACTTATTGAAATGTTCTGTTTGAAAATAGTTTAAAGAAGACAAAAGAGTGTTGAATAGACATTAAAAATCATTTTTCAACTATCACATCGGAGATAATAAGTAAATACCCTCGCGTGTTTGTCTATCGTAAGAAAGATATTTCGATTTGATTGCTTCAACGTCAATAAAAGCGGAAAGGTATTGGAAATCGCCATTTTTATAATCAGTAATCCACTTTTCGTGTAAACTGATAAAATTATTTCGTTTTAAAACCTTCCTGGTAGAATCCTCAAGATTACATTCAGAAATATTTATTGTGTTCGAGTTTTGTCGTCTCTGTACGGCTGAGACAAGTCAATTGCGCACCTATGTTAATATTCCTTATTGTGGAGTCACGTACATAGACATTAGTAAACGAAGTTTAAACTGTTGTTTTGAATTCCACAATTTACGATTTGTTTCGCTCACAAATTTTTTGTTGAACATTCTAATATTCGGCCCGTATCTTTTGTTGGTGAAATCGATTTTATTATATTTTCCCGTTTTGTGTCATTGAATTTGGCCAATGCATTTAAACCTTGATCATCTCAATATTTCTTGGAAGTCCTTACAAATATTTATCTTTTCGTTTATAAGGAAAAATGTTGATGTTTTTAGCGGATTATATTTTATAAAATTATTTAATGGCTGATATTATTGTAAATTTTGCAATATTTTTTTTAAATGGGGTACAGTTTCCAAACTATGCCGTGCCTTATTGTATTTAACGTTTTCATCGGAATTTTCAACTTTTTGGCTAGAACTGCATACTTTAATAGCCAATGCTGTAGATGCAAAAATTATCTCGAAACATTTCAAACATCCTTTACATATGTCTTAAATATGCAGTGATACAATAATTTCTTATTATTTAAAATAATTTCTTAGCATGAATTCGTCAAATATTTAAAGCTTAAATCATGGTCGCTTTTATATTATGTTTAAAAAAATAATTAAACCCATATTATTAGCCATCCCATTTCTAAAAAGACGTCATTTCTGCCCTATTAATCATAAACATGCAAAAGCATTTTATTTTCCATTATTCACACTTTTTTTTCATTTCAGAATCAGATCTCACCGGGCTATCGCATGTCGGTAAGTTCATCACTTTTACTATTCCTTAGACTTAACACGGGTACATTTTACAACTAAATTAGTGTAATGTAAAGAATAAATTAGGATAAGAAAAATAAAATGACATCTTACAAAAGATTCTTAAAAAACGTTAATAGTATGATATCTTAAGATGATTAACGTTAGCTGTTTATAACACATTATTTTTAGACTAATATAAATAGACTAATATAATAGTAACTTAATTAACAAAAATTTTGTGAACTTCTTACACGCGACATAGAAACAAGGACGCTCGTTGTGTTTTATCGCTGAATATTATAATTAACCAAGTTAGAAAGAAACCACAATGACCAAAGGAAGAGCCAACTATACGTTCAACATTATTTGATGCACTGCTTTGTAGATATCTACATATTCGTTTATGTTTCATAAATAGCTTAAGGCTTTCCGTAAAAATCCACATAGTGTTAAGAAATAGGTAATGAAATGTGCAATAAATAAAAATGACATTAAATTATAGATGATGATGATGTAATAAATAAATATATAAATTAAAATAACATCAAAGATTATGATAGGAATGAATTTTGTACCATATTTACATTTATCCCACGTGATACGCAAGTAGATGACGCTTGTGGTCAACTACGGGTACAATCAAAACATTGTCGATAGGATCTTGCGATAAACATGTTGTCGCGGCTATATTTCAATTCAAATTGTACGTATGATGAAACATATAAGGTTATAAACACTCTATAACTAACGTCAACATGTTTTTCACTTGAAACATAGTTTATTACAACAGTGTTCATCACAAATAGATGTACCACTGTGTTGTTAAGTATTTCTTCAAAAATTATGCTAATTTAAATAATGTTATTTCATTATTGTTGAGGGATTTTTGTCTAACCTCAACTTTTATAACAAGAACCAATCATCAAGCACTCACGTCCGTCGACATTAATGCAGTGAACTGAAGTAGCAAAATGCTATTCATATTTCATCGCGATTTTTTAAACGTGACAAGTGTTAACCATGTGGTTGTGAGCTTGTCATCGAGTAATTTTTCCGAATAACATCTAATCCTTATGATGTGGATTGACAATAAAAACAACGTCTAGCAATTCAGAGAAAAAGATCGCAAGGACCTCTATATGATAGTAAACATGCAGTTATATCAATTGCATGTTCAAATATAATACATATTTAAGATAATACTGTTGTTGTTTCTCGATTGGATAGGTAGAGATTACGCATTACAACTTTCCACAGTCCTTGTACATCTCGTAAGTCTTATACACGCTTTAAAGTCCGTCAATACTTACAATTAAGTAGAAGCTAGTAGGAGGGGGCTGAGCAGTTTCTGCTGTTGCACGAACGGTCTGCCTCTTCTAGGAAAGTACCACGACCTTACTGACGACCAGCGCGTAGTAGAAGTTACACATTTAGTTGGAATTACACTTTTCGTTCAGTGAGTGAGGTAAAGCTGACCCGTTATTTTCAAGGTGGTTAACGATACTGCAACCCCATTGCTGTTTTAAATATTCATGGGCATTGGTAATTAAATCAGCTAAACTGCAAGCTCATTACCTTCTCACGTAAAAGGTGCTTTGGAAACCGTCCAGTATGTCGCCACCTTTGCCGCGTTCGGCGAAATAGTTCAGTACCGACCCCTTTTCGAAACACAAACTCGTCAGTAATTTTTCTCGATTGTTCCCCGTGTCCAAAACTTGTCATTTATTTTATATGCATATGAAATAGTACAGAATATTTACACAGACGATCTTTCATGTGACTGTAATCTAAGAATTGGGTGAAACAGGGTTTGTTTAACCGACTCGAATAAATTGCACAGGAACATTCCATTGAAGAATAACGTTGAGCCAAATAGAGATACTTCAGCTCATTGTAGTGTTTGTTCCGTTGTGGCCATATAACAGCGAATGCGTTTCAATTAAGGCCCATAATCGTAATTGGTCCGACAGTGGTGTAGTTGGCCGCAAACTAAGGCTCGATTCACCGACACCGCAGTGCAGATTCTCTCGCGAACAGATTAGGACGTATAGCATTTTAAACTTTATGTCTATTGCTAAAACATATATTATTGCTTTACCGGCAGAGTATATGAGCTCTTGTCAACTCTCAACTTGTCTCTTATTCGTCTGACAGCGCTAATGCCCGACTCGTCCGAGCCTCTCAAACGATAATATGCACTATGATATCGGTATAGGGTTTAAAATAACGTGAATATGAACCTGCTCGGCAGATTTCCAGCAGCTGTCGGAGTCGTGTGAATCGAACCTAATACATAGGCCTTAGACTGATAAGTTAAAACAAATGTATAGTAACATGTGTACGAAAGCCTGTTTTTGCCAAAGTAGTTTCACTTATGTGATAGTCATTTATCTTGTCGAATTGAGCAATCTATCTTTTACGAGGAAAGCATTGGTAAATGAAAAGTCGTATTTCCGAAATCACAGGGTTTTGTCATATGTCAGAAAATCTCCCTCAAAACATAAAAAATCGAATGAACATTTTGATAAAGGACGTGAAATTTCCCCGTAGAAGGCAAATTCACGAAATTATGTATTTCAAAGAAAAATTTTATTCATTAACTTCTACCTTGAAAAATAAAACAATAACAGCGAAATATATTTTGACAATTCCTTCCTCGTTCCGCAAATCCGTCGGGGACAATTGAAATAATTATTCTTAGTGCAACAAACATGTACTGGCGACGGCCCAACTGTTTAAATACCCTTTTATTTGCTTAAAACAATGGCGGTTATTGTCATTAGCTAAAACTGTACACAAAGACAGGACGAAATTAAGCATGGGAAGGGATCTCGCAAGGAATAAAAGAATACCAACGATATTCTCTATATGAATACGAGATACATAAATTATCCTAATTTATCTTTGTAGTATACAGGTTAAACAAAGAAATAAAAGAAATTTCTATCCGCATTTCACTGAATTATGAGGCTCTAACGGCCGGTTTCTATATTCTTTCTACAGATAGATTTGCTTAGTAGCGTATTTGACGTTAGCTCCATAACACTTATGTCAAAATTCTGTCTCCAGTAACCAAATCAATCTGTAGAAAGAATATTGGGAACGGCTGTAACACGATGCGATGAGCTTATCACCGTGTATCTGACCAGAAGGTCTTTATGTTCGTTGTCAGCAAATAAGTTTGATATGAAGTATGCTCAGAGTTCGTTGTCAGGATAAAGACGTCTCAATTTAAGCGAATACATATAAATACATTGTTATACGCCTAAGTGCAGCCATCTGGTCTCATCTCAGCGCGTACCCAAAGGATGAAATTAATTCCTTTCGACCGTTCCATAATTTCACAAAGAACACTCAGGTAGCTCCCTTCATACCTGATCTCGATCCTGCCCTAGAATAAAGACCTATAAAAACTTTTATTCCGCCTCCTTGCTTATATGAACCGGTTTTACTTGTTGCCATATGTTTTCAATTTAAAAGTATTAACTTAGTGAGATGTTATAACAGTGGGTTTTTATGAAGCCCCTTGGAAACAGAAGTAGAAAGCAAATACATCTAACAGAGACAGAAAAACAAGCTTTAACGTATTAATTTATTGCTAGTTTTAACTGAATAAAATGGCATGACGACAAAAGATATAAGATTAAAAAGATAAAGCAGAAAAGATGAAGCTGTGAGTCATTTATATAGCGGAAATGGTTACAATAATTTTTATATGTAGAGGTCTTTGTAACAAATTTTGCAGTCTTTAACCGAGGGCGTGGAACAACAATCGATTATGAAATAATGAATGTAATTCTTTTTTAGTAATCATTTTTCGAACTCTTAAAAACAATGACACCTATCGTGTAAAGTTTATAAACGTACTATATATAAGTACTTGTGTGTACCAATGACAATCCATAGTACAATTGATTCACTACGATTAATATTTAAGTTTCATTTTGGAGTGCGGAATAGTTCTTAAATTAAAAGATAATCAAAAACTATTTATTCATTTAGCTATTAAGTCGCTTTGTATGCATTGACGAAGATAAGCTCGCTTAGATCTAATAAAAAAAAGTGTGTGTAATTATGTACGCACGTAAGAAGTAATGTTTCTTTAGCGGCCTAAGATCATCTCACTTCAGACTTCAACATGTCGCTTTTTGGCTGTCGATGTGTGCAGGCATCGTAAAAATTTTACCCACATATTTTTTTCTAAAACGCGCCCGAAAGAAGCATAACTTCAAAAACATAATAATCAATAAAATCCAAAAGTACCTAAACTTTGAAAAAGGTGTAATGAACGTTCGAATTGTTTTCAACAGTTGGCCAGTCGCACGTATTTTGTGGCAGACTTGTTTTTGTTTAGGAAGACTATTTTTGTTTTCGCGAAACGCAATAAGTCTTGCTTTTACTGTCTGATGCTACCCAGATCAGAGAATCGTTACAGTTTAATGAACGCTTTTACGTAAACATAACAGTCTTTAAGTTTCGATGATAATAGAAAATATAAGTAAACAATCAGTTAGTATCATTGTAATTTATTGATATTGTTGTTTTGTATAGAAATTTTGAATATTGCCGATTAAGTGACGTGGTTAAGAGAGTATTTTAGTGTTAGTGTTTAGTTATTAAATATGTAAGTAAAGAAGGTGGAAGATTCGCTTTTTTATTGACCTTATGTTATCAGATAAAAGCCTGAAATGAATATTTACAACGGGTGTGTGCAGATGCGTTGGTCTAGTACAGTTGCCCCTGCCATTTATGCCACAGCCAAAGCTGTTTCTTGGTCCTATTACAGACAGATGCTGGATAAGTGTTTCATAAATCTTATTTAATCCTTAGGGCCGGTTTCAATATTCTATCTTACGATAGATTTTTTTTTTATTTGAAACCGGCCGTTAAACGTCTTATATAGATAGAGATAACTATAATAAAAAGTAAATATTAAATATTCAAATCAACAATCACGACTACATACTTAATATGTTATAAGGAATGCCATATGTAATGTGATAAACAATTTAATTGTTGTATTGCG